GTACCAGCATTTAACTTAAGTGTTCTCTTTAATGTTTTCCAATTTCCCTTAACAGTTCTCTTTAATTTTTGCCAATTTCCTTTTTTAAAAACCACATGTATCTATTGTTATAATTCTTTGACAAAGCCACGGACCAGATGATAGATTAGAATCTCCTCTACCAATATATATGTTAGCCACAGAACTGTACTTAGAGGACTCGTGATCCACATTCAGCTTTCTCATCAGCAGCTGCTGCTTCTTCTGGACAACTACGGCAAGGAAAGATTCAAGTTGCACAGCAAAGTCCAGAGTCTCTCAAAGTGTCATTAGCTACCTTTGTATGATCTTTATATGCAAGTTCAAGTCTCACTGAGCATCTACAAGTTGGTCCATCATCCATTGATGCTGGAAGTAGTATCTATCTGAGTATCCTAAGAACACAAGTCTCTGCAGTTCCGCTGACAGTTCTGGTGGGGTTTCTTCTTTCCTGTTCCTTCCAACTCTTCGTTCTTGCCGTGGCCAGCTTAGATCAATTGATGCTTTGTATTTGTTCTTCCAGCAGACATTTCCTCCTGCAAGTCATCTTTCTGGCATCCCTCTGAATGCTCATTTAATTCCTTCCTCCAGCTTCTATTGTAGGTTTTGTTTTAAATCTTGCTGGCCATTGTTGATTTCTGCACGCAACACCATTATTCATTCTATCTTGGTTCAACAGTCAGGCTACTAGCTTACAGACTTTTAGCTCAGAAACTGGATCCCATGCCTAGATCCCCGAGTGGATACAAAATATGGATCCAATTCCATATCTGTATCAGCTAAAATGAGACACAGATGTCTGCATCCCCCTCCACAGATGTGGATACCCATGGATATAAAGCAGATTTGCAGGACTCTACCCATGCCTAACACTAGAGTTGCCTCTTTTTGACCAGAACCAACTCTAACATTTTGAGATCCTGCGAAAGTTCCACTTGGAAGCAGAAATTGATAGCATCTGCCATTCACTGTGATGCAGTCTGGTTTATTTACAAAGAATATACCAAGTCCTTATTCTCAAATATTCTTAGTTTACAGACCCAACATCTCCTTAGCTAACAACATGCCAAAAGCACTCTAGCCAGGCTATTGCTTGGTGTGCTTGTTTTTTGCTTCTGCCTACCTCTATCTGTGTTCTCTGGTTCTGTATATTCTCTCCACACCTGGTTATACTACCCAGTGGAATTACCCACCCAAATGATGCTAGTTTCTGGGCAGACTCTAACAGGCCTCGTTTTAATCATCGCTTACAACTAATTTAATTGAAGGGCATTTTCATACATGAGTTTGAAAGAGGTTTTAACTCAGCCCATGACATGGTTTCACCTGCCTCACTGCGGTGTAGAGATTAAATTAATCGATGTGTCTACATGTGCAGTAGGTGTGCCAAGCTATATGTTTAACCAGCCTAATCTCTCATCTGGAAAGATGGAGATGGTTATGGTATCCCTTGCAGTAGCACTCTGTTAATCCCCTCCCTTTTGATCTTCCTAGCATAGTTTCATGCTTACATTGTTATAGAATCATAGAACCATGGAGCTGGAAGAGACCTCAGAAGGTCATCAAGTCCAGCCCCCTGCTCTAGGCAGGACCAATCCCAACTAAATCAACCCGGCCAGGGCTTTGTCAAGCCGAGACTTAAACACCTCTAGGGATGGAGACTCCACTACTTCCCTAGGGAAACCATTCCAGTGCTTCACCACCCTCTTAGTGAAATAGTTTTTCCTAATATCCAATCGGGACCTCTCCTACCACAACCTGAGACCATTGTTTCTTGTTCTGCCATCCATCACTACTGTGAACAGCCTTTCTCCAGCTTCTTTGGAACCTCCCTTCAGGAAGTTGAAGGCTGCTATCAAATCTCCCCTCACTCTTCTCTTCTGCAGACCAAATAGACCCAACTCCCTCAGCCTCTCCTCTTAGGTCATATGCTCCACCCCCCTAATCATTTTAGTTGCCCTCCGCTGGACCCTTTCCAACACATCCACATCCTTCCTATAATTGGGAACCCAGAACTGGACACAATACTCCAGATGTGGCCTCACCAAAGCCGAATAAAGGGGAATAATGACATCTCTGGATCTGCTGGCAATGCTCCTCTTAATGCAACCTAATATGCCATTAGCCTTCTTGGCTACAAGGGCACACTGTTGACTCATAACATCTGAGATTAACATCTGTGTTAGATAATGGTCCATATTTTTCTCTAAATTCCAAAGAAGTGGATCCAACTTCCTGGAAAAGAGAATTCCAAGTATTAGGTAGAAAATCCTCACTATACATGCATTTCCCTTCCTCTGATGGTTCACCACAGCCCAAGCTGGCTGCCTTCAAGGGAGAAATTAAAGAATAATTACCGGACAGGTCCTTGGCTAAGTATTTGTATGGTATTAGGAGTACATATAGCACATAGCTATAACCGTTAAATCTTGAAGCCAGGAGTTTCTCTAATCATCAGAAGGGAAAGGATTCATTTTGTAGGTGCTGATTTTTAGAGATGTGAGGATGCAAAGGAATGATGGGCTGATGGAAAAGCCTCTAAAAGGAAATGCATATATTTTGAGTGGACATTTATGGGTTTTCCTTATTGTTGCTTCTTTTCAATGCACCTCTATCTAAATTGGTGGAATATTTATTGGTGGGAATATCCTTCCCAGTAGGAATTAATAATTAACATCATGATGTCAACTCCCTGGGTGTGTCTAGACTATACCTCTCTGTTGACAGAGAGATGTAGATTAGGCACATCGAAATTGCTAATGAAGCCGGGATTTAAATATCCAACGCCTCAATAGCATAAACATGGCCGCAGCTTTTTTTGAAACTGAGGTTGTTGGGGTTTTTTCAAAAAAAAATGGCAGTCTAGATGCAGATCTGTAGAAAGTAAAGCCTTTTTTGACAGATCCTGTAAACCTCATTTTTTGAGGAATACAGGATACAGGATCTATCAAAAAAGTCTTTATTTTTGATAGATCAGCACCTTGTCCGTGAATACAGAGGCAAAGAAAGCATTGAGTACTTCAGCTTTCCCCACATCATCTGTCACTAGGTTACCTCCTTCATCCATTAGGGGCTGCACACCCTCTCTGATCACCTTCTTCTTGTTAACATGCCTGTAGAAACCTTTCTTGTTATCCTTCACATCCTTAGCCAGTCGCAATTCCATTTGCGCTTTCACCTTCCTGATAACCCCCCGGCATTCTCGATCTATACCTTTAAACTCCTCTTCCCCACATCATCTGTCACTAGGTTACCTCCTTCATCCATTAGGGGCTGCACACCCTCTCTGATCACCTTCTTCTTGTTAACATGCCTGTAGAAACCTTTCTTGTTATCCTTCACATCCTTAGCCAGTCGCAATTCCATTTGCGCTTTCACCTTCCTGATAACCCCCCGGCATTCTCGATCTATACCTTTAAACTCCTCCCTGGTCATTTGTCCAAGTTTCCACTCTTTGTAAGCTTCCTTTTTGTGCTTAAGTTCACCAAGGATTTCCCCTGTAAGCCAGTCCGGTCTCCTACCATGTTTGCCTCTCTTGCTACGCGTCGGGATGGTTTCTTTCTGTGCCTTCAATAAGGCTTCTTTAAAATACTGCCAGCTGTCCTGGACTCCTTTCCCCTTCATGTTAGAATCCCAGGGGATTCTGCCCATCAGGTCTCTGAGGGAGTCAAAATCTGCTTTTTTTAAGTCCAAGGTATGTATTTTACTACTCTCTTTTCTTCCTTTGGTCAGGATCCTGAAATCTACCATCTCATGATCACTGCTTCCCAGGTTGTCACCCATCTCTACTTCCCCTATTAGTTCCTCCCTATTTGTGAGATTTGGCAATACCAGAACTTTACCTTTGCCTGAAGTTTGTGGGGTAAGATGGCCAAACCTGTTTTACCACTTCTGTGTACACAGTGTTACTTGGCAAAGTGGCTCTTGTGAAGATGAGGTTGGGTAGATGCTTGACAGACTCTACCACTGTGTTGCCATTGCACATTATTTATTTCACACTATATGTGACATCTTACAAACACACTAGAAAAGAAAGGCCTGTCCTGCAGAGCTTATAGCAGGGCTACTCAACCCACAGGCCACAGGCTGCCCATTTGTTTGTGGCCCGCAGGGTGGTTTGGGATTATGCAGGACTTAATAAGCAGCCCATGGGTGGGATCCTTTGAACATCATCTCCACTGGGAACACGTTCCACAATGGCAAGGCATCTCCCAGGCAGCGTGAGTATTGAAAGATGCAAGTGGATAGGCTGGCTGAAACAGACGGGTACAGGGTGTCAGCGTTTCTAGACCCCAGGGAGGAGGTGCTGGGAGCGCCTGAGCATTGTGGGAAGTGCTTTGTATTTATGCCCATCATGGGGAAATAAGCTATTTGCATTTATTTGCATATATATTTGCATGTATATGCAACCACACTTAAACTGCGACTCTTGGCATGTGCTGTATCACTGTGTCCCCTGCAGCTTCCAAAGTTGAGTAGTCCTGGCTTATAGTCCTGACTGCCAGAAACAGGATACAATTAAATGGGGGCAAGAATCAGAAAAAATGCGCTTGAGAGCTTACAAATTGAGAAACCTCATTAGGAATAAAGGCAGTTTTGTATTGTGAACAGCACCGAAGAGTTTTCATCTCCAAGATACTGTTACAACCTATCAACTATCAACCTCCACCAGCCCTTGCAAAATTCTGTTCTTCCACAGGCATGAGGCAACTGCCATTTTTTAAACAGGTTATAAAATAGCGTCACCCTGAAAAAGAGCAGGAGAGCAAACGTGTGCACGGGCTGGTAAATGTCCCGAATAGGCTGAAGGAGCGAATACTCCTTATAACTAGCTTCATGTTGATTTCATGGATTTTTTTAAAGTGCGTTCTGCACAGCTTCAAGGAGAGCTCAGGCCTTGGATAACGTGGTTTCGAACAAAGGAACCAATCCTTTGTCCCCCCGCCCCTCCGTGGACGGTTTGCAGCCTCCCATCCACTCACCCTTCAGGAACCTCTGCCATCGCCACCCTTGGAGCGCCCCGGTCACCTGGGCATGGCTTGAACCCCGCCGCGCATTGTTTAACGCGGATCCGCACAAGCGCAGGCGGCAAGTGTTTCAACGTTCCACGAGAGGCTTCCTCCCCCGGACGAACGTTCCACGGGGGGAACGCCGAGGAGCCGGCCCGCACCCGCAACGTGC